CCCTTTATTTACACCATGTCTGTTGTAACTGAGATGAAACGTTATCTTTGATTCATCTACCCAGAGCACACTAATCCAAAAGGCTTGCTCCTCGCCTTTATCGACATTGCAAAATTGTAGCTTTGCTCTAATGTTCTTTTTGGTCAGATTTGTGCAATCTTTTTTCTGACTGTAGGCACAGCAACTTTATACCAACAACTTCAGAGTTATCTGCAGATCCTGTAAAGAAGTTCAGGGGGGTCTTGAAGACCTCTTTTTGTACAGTCTTTGAGTCCTGGATGGGGAGGCCAGCCCCAAACTGGCATCTATGCTAGTTGTAGATAATTTTCCATACTGTGGGAGAAACTTTAAATTCCTTATAAGACTCATAGGCATCAAAACCATTTTTTTTCTGAAAGCCTTGGGAGTTCTTTAGGTCTTAGCATGTTAATGCTACACACTTTAATAGCAAAGTGGCCAGAAGAGTCTCAGACTCAGATGTTCCAAATTTCTGGTTTAATATTATTTGAAACTTTTCAGCAATTCCTGATTCTCATTTTATGCATTCGAAGGTGTGACAACAGTTAATGTTTTCATTCGACTGTTCTGTTTCTGTATTTAAATTGTAAAATTGATGACAAAATTTGGATTTCTTGGAGACCATCACTTTTATTAGTAGGCATTTCAAAGAGGATCAGATTTTTGCTTGTTAAAACATACCAAAAAAAAAGCCATCATTTTCTGGGACTTACAGTGATTATAAGACATATAATAACCAAATAACATACAGAAATTGACACAAACTGATTGCAATATTACTAATTTATTCACCGTTTATTTATTCAGTCAGTCACCATTTCATATTTTATGCTGTCATGTATAGAATTATTTTCCCTTTTTCTTTGATCTAAGCAGCTGTGTCATTTGGGTTAATTTAAGAATTCAATCTGTCTTGGTATTGGCAAACTACAACATTAAAATCAGGATTGAAATATCCCTCACGTAGAGAAGCAATTAGCCAAAAGTTGACTTACCTCATGGAGGCAGAACATGGTTTCAAAGACATCCTTCATTAACAGCTCCTTCAGGTTCTCTGGCAGAAAAACACACATTTGTTATATGCATAATATCATTATTTTGTATTCTTTCTTGCCTATTAAAAATGGATTCTATGCTATCATGTTTGTCAATAATCTACAAATCCACAGATTATATAATTAACTTTATGAATTAAACTTCCTTAAACTAACCATACTCACCTCCTGTGTTGATGAAGGTCTGATGAAGAATAAAATTAACGATTCGAATCCTGGAGGAAGAGTAAAAAGATTATATTTTTGAAAAAAAATTTGAAATGCTATCTGCATAGTGACAATAAGTATTTTATACGGATCATCATCATTGTTAGATAGACAGCAAACATACAGTGACTTTACAGACACCCATACATGTTGAGTGTATTATTTTTTTCAAAGCTTTTTGTATCACCTGTTCTTTTGTAATATTATCTGAGAGCATGGTTCAAAGTTTCTAAACTGTTGCTGTGTACATTGCTGTGTGATCCAAAACATTATGCTCCCAAAACAGCTCTAACCGACTGAGACTTGGAGTTTGCAAGACATCTGATGGTGCCCTGTGGCATCAGGCACCAAAATGCTAGCATCAGATCCTCTGAGTCCTGTAAGTCAGTCTTGAAACTATGGATCAGACTCAATCCTGTACATCTACCAACACATCCTCCAAGCCCTGCAGTTTCAGAGATGCTCTGCCCCAGTTGTCTTTGATATAATATTTGGTCCTTGTCAATGGATCAGGTCTTTATTTCTGTCCTTTCTGTAACATCCGACATGTTAAGTACAACAACCAACTGCATCTTTACCTAATTGATGCCAGATATATTCAGACAATGACATGTGCTGTGGTTCTGACACAATATCTATGAGCTGTCATAATGGTTTGAGTAATCGTGTACACTACAAGCCTCCTCCAGCTTGAAATTAGTTACAGCTGACAATGGGATTCATGTTATGACTCCAAGTTGCTAAGTACAATGATTCATCAGTTATCCTGTTTTACAGTTTTGGCTGAAAAACAGCCATTACTCCAGCATATACTGCATACTGTCCAAGATAAAGGAGAGAACAGGTGGGGTACGCTTGCAAATGAGGCTATTCAAAGTGGGAAAACGTGCCTTGTGAACCGAGAAAAGACATCTCAGAACCACACGTTTCTGATGCACCATCAGTCTGCTGCCATTACACCACGTTCCAAATTATTATGCAAATTATATTTTTCTTTGATTTTTCTAAATAGTCAATGCAAATGACTCAGCATAATTTTCAAGTCATCAATCATTAGAGTAGAATTTGAATATTATTGAACAAACCTCCCAATGACAGCAGTATTTTTTTCAAAAATAAAAAAATTAAAATGAACTGTTCCAAATTATTACACACAACAGAGTTCCAAAACTTTTTGTAGGTTGTAAAGGACTGAAAATGATCATTTGTTGAATTTGCAGCATTAGGAGGTCATATTTACTCAAATCAAAAGCTATCTCAGTCAAAAACATCTTAACAGGTCAAGCTACATATTAACATAGGACTCCTTATTTGATAGCAGCTTCACAATTCTTGCATCTATTGAACTTGTGAGTTTTTGGAGAGTTTCTGCTTGAATTTCTTTGCAGGATGTCAGAATAGCCCCCAAGACCTGCTGTTTGGATGTGAACTGCCTCCTTGCCTCACAGATGTTTTGCTCCAAAGGTTCTCAACAGGGCTGAGGTCAGGAGAGGACGGGGGCCACACCATGAGTTTATCTCCTTCTATGCCCATAGCAGCCAATGATGCAGAGGTATTCCTTTCAGCATGAGATGGTGCATTGTCATGCATGAAGATGATTTTGTAAGGAAAAGCACGTTCTTCTTTTTGTGCCATGGAAGAAAGTGGACAGTCAGAAATTCCACATACTTTTCAGAGGTCATTTTCACACCTCAGGGACATTAAAGCTCTCTCCCCATGATTCCAGGCCAAAACATGACTCCACCACCTCCTTACTGACTTCACAGCCTTGTTGGGACATGGTGGCCGTACACCAGCCATCCACTGCTCCATCCACCTGGACCATCCAGGGTTGCACGGCACTCATCAGTGAACAATACTGTTTGAAAATTAGTCTTCATGTATTTCTGGGCCCACTGCAGCCGTTTCTGCTTGTGAACATTGGTTAGAGGTGGCTGAATAGAAGGTTTAACCATAACTGCAAGCCTCTGGAGGACCCTACACCCTGATGTTCTTGGAACTCCAGAGGCACCAGCAGCTTCAAATACCTATTTGTTGCTTTGTAATAGTATTGTAGCAGCTGCTTTCTTAATCCAATGTCTTTGTCTGGCAGAAACCTTCCTCATTGTACCTTCATCTGCACGTATATTGCTTTATTCAACAAAAACCATTTGAATGCAGCAAATGTACCATAAAAACTGGATAGCCATTTTCCTTAAACACAACCCAACCAACCGATGCATTTAAATCTCATGGTTTGGGTGGTCGAGTGGCTTTTCCACCAGCTGCAAGGTTGGTGGTTTGATCCTTGATCCTCTGCATGCTGTGCATTCGTGGGCAAGACGTTTAACCCCAAGTTCATTGGTGTGTGAGTGTGTGTGAATAGGTGAAAGAAAAACACACGGTGAAGTGCTTCATTAAGCCTAAGGTCAATAATACGCTATGAAAGTGTGGACCATTTTCCATAAAAATTCTTTTGAAAGCAGAATTGATGTTAAATCGGTCTTTATTGAGCTAAAAAAAACAAATAAATAGTGTAAGTCATTCTTGCAGCATCTTATATCCACAGCTGTTTTAAACTGTATGACAATCCTCTCATTTGGCTTATTAAATCTCTGAGCCACCTACAGGGCAAATAAGTATGACTGCAAACAATAACCATGATTTTTATTGTAAATTGATCTGTCCACTATTTTCTCAATCACTTTGCAAAATTGCAAGAAAATGGTGAAAATTTGCAATATTTTCAAAAGATAAATATGATGTCCTCAAATATAACATAAACATATTCTGATTTAGGATACTGAAATCAGAAAAGTTTCCTCTTAAATAGAATGATCAGTTATCAAGATCAGTGACAATAATTTAGCAGCTGACAACTCATCAATTAATCATTGCAGACCTGCAGATTTTGAAAAATCGGCAGCCTCTAATCAGTGAAGTGCTGTGTCACAACATTATGCATACATATTGCATACTCTATCCATTGTATTTACCGTCATTAAGTTACATTCAAATGACAACAAGGCTGATGCAGAAAACTCTCATACATCTCCACACACCACTCCGTTATGACGCCTTTCTGCTGAGAGACACCAGATTTCTAGATCTTGGTAATTCTGCGCATCACAGCCTCCTTTCCACTTTACTTTTACAAAAACAAATATTTTGTCTTTCTTGAGGAGCATGACCATACAGACAGTGCTGTCACATCAGTTATAATATGAAGTAACCACTGCTGATGTGAGATTGAGTAGAAACAGAGACGTGACGGTACACAAAATTCATGGTTTCGCTATGAATGTAGATTTTGGAGTCACTTTCAGTGCATTTTCAGTACAGCAGAGATAAACAACAACAAAAAAAGCATGACTTTGTCCTTAGTGGACAACTAGGTAAAGTGGCACTTCGACACATGGAGGGATCCCGGGACTGAACCACTAACATTAGTAGTAGTTCAATCCTGGGATCCCTCCATGTGTCAAAGTGTTCTTAGACAAGACAATGAATCCTAAATTGTTTCCGATGGTAGAAGAACAGCTCTGTCACTGTTGGTGTGTAAGTGTGTATGAATGGGCGAATGAGAAACATATTGGAAGCATTTACGACTACATGGACCTGTTTTTTTGTTTATACTCAAACACAATATAAAATTTAAAAAGGCTATTAGAACAAGTGAAACAATAGGTGCAAATGCTGCAAATTCAGCAATAAAAACTATCCAAAATAACGCTGTGTTTCTCTCTTTTTGTCAGTCCTGAGAACACAGACATCTCTTTTCAAAAACCTTTATCAGAAATGTCCCTTAAAAGAAGTGACCAGGGGCTTGCTATTTACAAAGGTTTAGCAAGTCAGTTTGTATTTACAATGTAAGCAGACAAGTCGCATATTCAGGCAATACAAGAAGATACAAATAAATAAAACTGGCATGGTAATAGTATTAATAACAAAATAGAAAAACTATGATTTGTTGTGAAGGAAGTGTTTATAATTATGGCCCAGTATACAGACGTGTAGTGTTGTTCAATGGTTCTGGTGACTTCTATGTAACAGGACATGTCACTGTTGTTAAAAACAATTGTTCATATGTGAGGCATTTTAAAACTGGCACTGTTACATCACTCAGTTTTTTTTTCTTAAAACAGCACAATGACCAAAGCAGAGTTTCCTGAAAATACCTGTACTGGTTTCATCTGGAGGAGGTGTGTTTTACCTGTTAGCCTGTGTGACAGCTCCCCTCACATCTCCACACCAGTTGCAGGAGTCGGAGACTTTCAGCAGGTACTGATAGTCCTCAAACATCTCACAAGGAGCACGCAGGCCAAAAAACACTTTGTCATCGTGGATGATCCTCTATAACACAGTACACACATTAGTGGGTTATCTTTGATTCATGCACTCTCTCACAATAAATTACTTTGTCACGTTTTGAAGAAACTCACAGTGACTGTGATGTTTTTCTTTTCTAGTTGCTGGATAAAGGCTCTCTGTCTCTGAGACTTTTGGTCCATGTCATCGTCCACCTTGTCGGCCACTAATACGTAGTCAAATGTCCTCTGGGTTGCCTGTTCAAAGACAAAACACCTCCAATTACAATGAACAAGAGGAGCAGAGTTTGACAGCTGTAATTTCCTTGACTCTTACAGAGCACATCTGTCTCTTTTCATATTTGCTAAAAGATCCTTTAAGAATTTTAACTCAAAAACCTAGGATTAGGCAGAGGTTTAGAACTGCCACAACTACAACAAACACATTTATTCCTTTGTTATTTTAGCTGGACAAATCATTTCCTGGGGTAATTTCAATTTCTGCATCATTTTCTATGCACCAATCTGCAGAGCAATGTTTTAAGCACCAAAACGTGAGAAATAATGAAGCTAGAGGGTCCTTTCATATGAAATCAACTGATGTCAGAGAATTTTCCCAGGTCACTCTCTCAGATTCCTCTGAAAACAAAATCACAGGGGCTTCTATACCAAAGTTATGAAGTATTAAGTCTCTATCTGTAATAGTTCTGAAATTATAGCCCTTTGAAATTTTAATTCATTTTATGAGAACTAGCCTCTCAGACCATCTTCCCACATTTATAACTCATATGGAGCTTTGAAACTGTTCATCTTGGGATAACTTTTCTTGTATAATCCAAAAATGTAGATCTGGTGTATTGTCTTTATTTGTCTTCTACAAGGCACTAAAAATGGCCAAAAATTCAGTTGTTAAAAAAAGACACTCTCTGGTACAGTTCCTCATTTGAACAGTATGATAGATAACACTCACAAATTTTATGAATTTTGCCCATTTTCATGCTGTGATTTGACCATGTGGGCAGTTCACCATCATTTCATACTTTTACCATGTGTTCTTGTAGCTCTGAAGGTGATCTGACCTAAATATGGTTTTGCTGCTGAGCCTCCTTTAAGAGTTATGATGTTTTTATGTGTATATCTATTGTGTACAGAAGACGATATTAGTATTGCAGATACAGTTAGACAAACTACTGCAAGATACAGAAGGTTCCTTATAAACTACAAACACTGACTGTCTGTAGTTTGAATATTAGAATAGTTTTCTAGGAAAGCTTTTGCAGAAACCAGATTTAACATCAGAGCAGAAGAAATCAATAAGTTTCAGTCATGAATTTTTTTTAAAGTTCACTGAACATGTTAGGACTTGTGTCTTTGCATCTGACATGAGCCAGAAATATGTGATCTTGGGTAATAAACTAGTCCTAATTTGCCCAGACTCGTTAGAAGGATTGCGTAATTTCTTGCTGATATAAAAGCGAATTGATTTAGGATAATCATCACTCAGGCATCCACAATGGAGCCCACTGCTTTACCCCAATGAAATCTTGGATACAAATAAGAAGATGATTGTTATAAAACAGGGCTGCAAGGCGGTGCGGTAGTTCGCACCATCGCCTCACAGCTAGAAGGTTCCCGGTTCGCGTCCCAGTGAGGACACCCGGGATCTTTCTGTGTGGAGTTTGCATGTTCAGTGTGCAGCGTGGGTTCTCTCTGGGTTCTCCAGCTTCCTCCCACACAGTCCAAAAACATGCTGAGGTTAATTGGTGATTCTAAATTGTCTGTTGTCTGTGAATGTGAGTGTCCTTGGTTGTCTGTCTCTAAGTGCAGCTATATGATGCAGCTATATATACCTGTCCAGGGTGTCTCCTGCCTTCACCTTAAGTCAGCTGGGATAGGCTCCAGCCCCCTCATGACCCTAGTGAGGATTAAGCTGTATACAGATACTGGATGGATGGATAGTTACATTATTTCTCAAGTTATGATACTTCAAACATTTCTCTGCAAAGTAAAACTGAGCCCATGTCCTGGTAGTTCAAATCTGACAGACTTATTAATGGACAGGAAATGTTAAAGTTCAGTTATCCTTTGCACTTTAATCAAAAAATACTATTCAAACTAAATATTAGAAATGAACAGCCTTACAGTAGCAGAACAGAAATCTGTTTGCATTCACATCTGATGTCACACAGGTTCATCTGTTTCACAGAGTCAAACTCTTTTTATATAAGCAGGTATATTCTGCGTTTGGATGTTACTGATGAGTTCTGTCTACTGTCATCTTCTTCATGTAGGAAAAGGTCTGATGTGGGGAGAGAGACCTGTAGTGGATTCTTACCAGTGAAGGAAGTAAAGACTCCCTGCTGAAGTCAACCTTCTCTCTGTCCCACAGCTCAATGTTTTCCTTTCACACACACACAAAAAAAGCATTAAAATACACTTAACTTTATAGTATCATATTACAGTTATTTGTAAGATATGAAAGACCAGTCAAGCAATTAGTGTGTTGTAACAATACATCCACAAGGGCAGTTGTGTACCTTTTGACAACAGATTTTTTTCTTGTGAATAAAAAGTTGTGCTCACTGTTGGTCCGGTCAGGTTAGGGTTAGTACTACTGCTAGTCTCACCTTGTCTAAATGAGCAGTAGGCTTACAGTGGCAAACGTAGCTAAACTTCAAGTAAATGCTACTGTATAATCTCTATCTACATATGTTGAGTCATAAGCAGTTATTAACTTCTCACAATGTTTCTTTATGAATATGTAATACTACAGTGTTAGTGGTTTCGGTCACTTCTTATACAGAGTCAACATGCTGAAGTGAGAAGTACAAAGAAATGCTGAACTTTCTGTTGTTCTTCAGGAGATTTACTGTGGAACAATCTGAACAAGAAATTGCATTCTTTCTTTTACAACTAAAAGGTGGAATAATAATTAGGCAAGACACTGAACCCCAAATTGCTCCAGATAGCAGGTAAAGCGCTTTGTAGAACCTAACTAAGGTTAAAAGGCAGACCATTTATCGCAACATTGTTACTCTTGTATTGTTAAACAGTGGCTATTTTTCAGCAAGTTACAACTTAATGAATTTCAATCTGTAAGATTCTGTAGCAGCTCTGTGTGAAGCTCTTGTTCACCAGTTCTATATTTGCTTCTCGACTTAGTGGGAAAATGGAGAGATAACTGCTTCTTCAAACCAGGCCAGACAATGTTTACTCAAAATCGAAAGAGCTGCAGCATGCACACGAGACCATTCTGCTGTGGTTGGAATGCAACTAATGGCTATTGTCACTACTAAATATTATTTAACAGCCAGTAATAATTATTTTTATTCAATCAATTCAATTCAGTTCAATCATTTGGTTTATTAGACATCAGAAATCAGTTCGGAGAACAAGATGATGTCATTGTTGTGACACTCTTTTGATGAGTGGAAGAATTTTGTCTGTAAAATCATCTTTAAATGAACATTAAGTGTACATTGGAAATTCTAGGTTATACAAGGTGCAACTCAAATGTAATCATGGACAGTTGTCGAAAGAACTTGAAGCAGAGAGCTTTTTGTCCTCCTCTAACAGACATGTAGCGGTCTGCAGGTTCAGACCTGCCCAACATGCTCACTTCTCATGTCTCATTTCACCTGCTTTCACCGTCTACTTTGTTCTTCTCTGCAGTCTGTAATAATGTTAAACTGTCTTATATAATGCCTTTCTACCTTAGTGGTACTCAAAGCGCTTTACTATGTGTTTCTAATTCACACATTTACACACACATTTATATACTAATGGCGACAGAGCTTCCATGCAAGGTGGAGCAACTTTGGGTTCAGGACACTTCGACATGGGGGGGGGGGGTCAAACTGACAACCTTGAGATTAGAGGACAACCCGCTCTACCACTTGAACTACAGCCGCTCATTGTTTACTCCTCTCATACCATTTACAGAGCAGATATTGTAATAAATAAGTTTAGTTTCTATTCTGGGAGAGCAGAAAATAACTAGCAACTGTTTTAACTGTTTGTGAAACCAAGCAGAACACTTTAACGTTCCTGGACTGTTGGTTGGACAAAACAAGTCATATGAAAATCGTCACTGAGTTCCTTTGTCATTTTGCCGTCCAAACATTGTTTGAAAAATCAGCAGATGAATTGATGACGAAACTGAATTTAATTACTGGTATTTAGAAGATATGTAAAATGTGACATTCTATAATAATAAGAACACATAATACTTCTATAGCGCTGTTCAAGACACTCAAAGATGCTTTACAAATCAGGTACGAACACAACAACAAGACAAACAAACAAATAACAAATAAAAAAATAATCTTCTAGCCACAAAGTAACAATATATGAAGCTTAATAGTAATTATTGTAAAGCAGCAGTAAAGGCGTTATAGGGGATAAAAAAAAATAAAGAGAGAATGACGAAGGCTTTAGAGATGTGAAAAATATCCATCATTCTGTATGCAATCTTAAATATTAAACATTTACATTAACATTAAAGCAGTATTTTAACATTGTACCTAATTGTCCTTTAACTTGTTTATATCCAGATAAATCTATTAGATTAATGAACATCACAGGCTTCAGATTAAAGAGTACAAAGTACAACTGGATGTAGTGCAAGGGGGAAATGAAACATTACAGTATCGTATTTCAAAACTGTAGCTGAATAAATGTACTCAGTAACATTATAATGAATGAGAGCTGCCTCACTTAGAATAAGTCCACAGTGAACAAACACTTGACAGTAGTTTTCTTTTAAATGCTACAATCGGAAGATATTTTTCTTTAAACAGTGCATGTGAAAGAAACTTAGTGCCTTTGTTTACCTCGACATTCTTGCAGAACATGTTGGAAGTTGTGTCACAGTTGATGAAGTTTGGTCAGAAAAAAGTACATCCACCCACCACGTGAGTCCGCTTCATCACTGACATGTCCGACAAACAGGGGTCGAGAACAATTCAATGAAAATCCACTGATCTAAACAACAACTTTGCTCCACGCTTCACTTCCGCATATTTGCAGGTGACTGCTGCAGGTGTGCCGCTTTACCGAGAGCCGCTGACGTCACCAGAACGGAACGGAACGGTGTGATGTTGCGTTCGGGTTCCACGAGAAAGATAGGTAATGTAACCATTAAGTACATGTGGTGGGGAATACTGCAGCTGCAGGTGAGTGCAGCCCTGGCCTGTCTCACCTGCTGGCCAATCACCTAATCAGAGCAGGATGTTTAAGTCAGGGGCTCCTGAACTCTGTCCCTGCTGTGGCTGGTAGTGTTTGGTGCCCAGGGAAGGAAAAGCTGCTTCATATGCACAATCTTCTTTAAAGTAACTGCATATTAATGTCAACCATCCTTTTGTTTGAAGTTTTGGTCGACTATAAAGCCATTTTGACCCTCTGCTAGACCAGTGACTTTGTTAATAGCCCACAAGAGAGGTGGTGAGTAGGATGGTTTTAACATGCATTTTAATGTATATGTAGGTTGAGCCTGGCTGATGACCTTTTCCCCTTTTTCCAGGTTCTCCTGCGTTTTAACCACTGCTGTTTTGCCTGTTAATTTTGGGTTTTTTTGTTTGTTTGTTTTTTGCAGTAGTTTAGCCAGCTGGGCCATGTTTCTTTCGTTTCTCTTTCTTTTGTGTTTAGTTCTTTTCTTTTCAGAGCAGAGTGCCACTTGGTGGACAGACTAGGCACCTGTGGTGAGGTCCCTTCACTTTCTTTTTGCATGTGAGTAACTGCACAGGGACACAACATAGACTGCACCATTTTGCTGTAAGGATTGCTGTGAGATTTGTTGTGTTGCACCCAGGTGAGCATCGGTGGCACCCTTGGTCACTCCTCATTGTAGTCTGCCTCTCCACAAGTGGCTTCTGCTTGGTTCTTTGTCTTTGGTAGTTATTTTGGGCTGGATTTTAAATTGACATTCCATTGATAGTGTTGTTGTTTAAATCCCAATTGAGATATTTTAGCTTATTATAATAAATTTTTCACCCATTTCACTGTTTGTTTTTAATTTGTTATTTAACTTTTATTTCTTTGCGACAGTTCTCGTCAACCCTGTTTAATCTGTCTTTAATATTATCAATAAAAACTTTTGATTTACTTTGGGAAAACACGTCTCTGCCTTCCAGTACTGAATCTGTGTGCCTTAATTTCCACTTTTCAAACATAAGACAGTACGATTAGTATTTTCTGGGGTGCAATCCCCCAGGTGGCGATGTTCGGCGTTCCTTCAAATTCTCCATATAGTGCACCTCACCACACTGGAATACATGAAAGTAAAGTGTCCCGCTAAATTAACTTTATCTTATGAGTGTTTTTTCATTTTCAACAGTTAACACACAAATGAGAGTGTTTTCTTTTTTTACTTTATTGTGCCATTAAATTGGTATATTGCATAAACCTAACAGTAAAACTATATGTAGCCTAGTATACATATCCACATCTTTGCTGAGCCTGTAAGCTAGGTTACTTGTGTTTCGGTGCATAGTTTCTTAAAACCATGAAACTCTATAATAACTTTGGAACAATTGTAAAGAAAACATTCTTTATATACCAGCTGCCAGAAAACAGTGTTGGAGGTGAGGTTACTTACCTTTGGTTGAGCTGAAATAACAAAGTTGTGAATAATAAAAATTATTTAGAACATATTAGACTATGGGGCTGCAAGGTGATGCAGTTGGTTAGCACTGTTGCCTCATAGCAAGAAGGTTGCCAGTTCGCATCCCGGTGGGGGCACCAGGATCTTTTGGGGGATCAGTGAGGCCAGCGGCTGGAGGTCAAGGACATGAAGCTCTGGATCCAGAGACATCCGCAGGGAGCACAGGACCTCAAGGGAAACTCAGTTAGTGACATGTAATGGTGGTTATAACTAGAGAGGAGTTCAGTACATAATTAGAATCCCCCGGCAGTCTAAAGCTATAGCAGCATAAGTAAGGGACAGTTCAGGTGATCCTGAGCAGCTCTAACCATAAGCTTTATCTAAGAGGAACGTTTTAAACATAACTTTGAAAGTAGAGAGGGTGTTTGCCTCCCAAACCCAAACTTGGAGCTGATTTCGTAAGAGAGGAGCCTGATAACTGAAGGCTCTGTCGCCCATTCTACTTCTGGAAACTCTAGGAACCAGAAGTAGACCTGCAGTCTGAGAGCGAAGTCCTCTGTTAGGATGATACGGTACAATAAGGTTTTGAAGGAGCCAATGAAGAGAAGCTAATGCAGGAGAAACATGATCTCTCTTACTGGTTCCTGTCAGAACCCTGGCTGCAGCATTTTGGATCAGCTGGAGGTTTTTAACAGAGTTATTGGGAGATCCTGATAATAAGAAATTACAAATGTCCAGTCTAGAAGTTATAAATGCATGGATGAGATTCTCAGAATTATTTTGAGACAGGATGTTCCTGATTTTTACAATATTACGTAAATGAAAAAAGGCCGTCCTACAAATTTGTTTTATATGGCTATTGAACGACATGTCCTGGTCAAAAATAACTCCAAGGTTCTTTACAGTAGAACTGGAGGCCATAGCAATGCCATCTAGAGTAGCTATCTGGTTCGATAGTGTGTTTCTGAGGTGTTTAGGGCCAAATACAATAACCTCAGTTTTGTCTGAATTTAAATGAAGGAAATTACAGGTCATCCTGGCCTTTAAGTCCTTCAGTCATGCCTGGAGTCTGACCAACTGATTGGTTTCATTTGGCTTCATAGATAAATATAGCTGAGTGTTGTCTGCCTAACAATGGAAATTTATGCAATGCTTCCTAATAATATTGCCGAAAGGGAGCATGTACAAGGTAAATAATATAGGTCCTAACACAGAACCCTGTGGAACTCCACAATTAACTCTACTGTGGGTGGAAGAATCATTAACATGAACAAACTGGAATCTGTCTGATTAATGATTTAACTTTCACTAGAGGTCACTGCAGTCCACAAGTTGACTGAGATATACCAAAGCAGAGACTTATGGGTAAATCTACATATAGACCAGCATCATCATTAAGCTAGGGAAGCAGCAACAGCTAGACTGTACTCAGCTATCTGTTCATGTTATCACAAAGTGTAATAAATGGTTGAACTCCATGGAAAGAGTCTGTATGCTTCATGACAATATCTAAAACTAAAACTGAGTTTATTTAAATGCTAACTCACTACCAGTGTTAGGAGGAACACCTAAAATATATTTAATTCAACCCTTTTTTACAGTTAACAATTCTTTATTATTCATATATTTTATGTAAAAATGACTGCTGTGAGATGTAGTGTTTACAACAGATTTTTTAAAATTTCGAACAAATGATTTACATTTAAACCACCTTGAAGTTCGTAACAGTGCAGCATAAGTTGTATGAAACAGTCAATAACACACATTGTATTAGATTTAGTTGTCAGAACAATAAAAACACAACAGCAGTGTCTATTTTGTGCAGCACTGTGTACCATGGGGTAAACTGTTCAATTTAATCCCATTGAAGTACATAAAATCAGGAAAGAAGAAGTTCATATGGACCCCATCCAGATTTTTGCAGGATCCTTCATGCGGCCTCTTCTCCAAACATCACTGAGAAGTCTTGAAAAACTGAATTAAAATGTAAATGACAACTATTTCAGCCACCCATTGTAAACCTAATATTTTAATACAACTTGTATGTGGCCAGTGTGCGCACAATGTGCAATTGAGTACTGTTTGCTGCCGAAAACGTTGGCATTTTTAACGGAAAACTCTAAGTCAGCTGGGATAGGCTCCAGCCACCCTGCGACCCTAGTGAGGATTAAGCGGTGTACAGAAAATGGATGGATGTTTGTAGGCCAGGCTGCAAGGTGGCATAGTGGTTAGCACTGTTGCCTCGCAACCTTCACGTCCCAGTGAGGATGTTCTCCTACAGCTCTTAATGTTCTCCCTGTGCAGTGTGGGTTCCCTCTGGGCTCTCCGGTTTCCTTCCTCATATTCTGTTAATGAAATTGTGCTGCAACCTCAGACTTGAACAGTGTTTTTATATTTCATCTTAAGTCTTGTAGTACAGGCCCCAGCAGGATTTGGGGTTAGCGAGGTAACTTCAGGTTAAATCCTTTTCAGTCCTACGACGGTGGTTCACTTCTTACCGGGTACATCCCTATGGTAACTTAGGCTGAACGGCTAACCTGCTCCACAGCAGATTATGTTCGAGGTTGAAATCACTGGGTATAAAAATACCGCCCACTGAAAATCAGTTCTCTCCCATAAAACTTCAGAAGGAGCAGAAAACAAAATGGCATCACCATCATTTATTGAAGACACATTGGAGTATGAATTATGAGGGATCACTGAGGAGTGTGAGGGTTTTTCAGGACCGGCAAAACAGCGCACCCTGACGAGGATCTCTATGAGCTCCTGTCTTCCTTCATTCATTTCTTCCTGTTGGCTCCAGGCAATGTCAAAGCTATTTCATATTGTTTTCCATACCAATATCATCCCACAACAGTAAACAGATTTTAGCATTAAAGCTTGTATTTGTAGGATACATTAATAAGCCTACACCGCTTTGAATTATGTTTGTTTGTTCTTAATTTGTTCCCACATCCTTTTACACCACCAGGGTCACAGCTGAAAGTAAAAAAATGTCAGATATGCCACAAGTATATAAATCAGGCAGCAAATTAGTTAAAAGGAATCTGCAGATGTGCTTATTGTCTGATACATGCCTTCATGATGGAACAGTGATCATACTATATTATAAACTAATGAACTTATGCATTCACACAGTCAGCATTCCTTCCTGGCTTTGGTCGCTGCAACGGTATTGCTTTTTGCTCCCATTATGTTTTTACATTCTTCATATTTTGTAAAGATTATATTCTGCTCCTCGGCGGTAAAGTGAGCCGCTCTGCAGCCAGACTTGTTGTGATTGGTCAGATGCTGATAACGCCGCCCATTTTACATGCACCCGCTCATACTCAGATCAGACAAACCTGGCTTGACTTACCGAGTTGATAACCACCGTCGTAGGACCGGTTATCCTGAGTGCGGTTGTTAGCTGGCTAGGGCACATATCACATGAGCACAAACATCCTAAACGGTAAATCCCTGATTTGATTCCTGCTGCATGTGACTCCTCAGCTCTCTTTTCTGACATTTCCTGCCACTCTTCACAGTCTCTAAAAAATACAGCAATTAAATGGCCAAAAATATAACTTTGTAAGGTAGGTATTGGTATTCCCTTGTAACTTTAAATATGAATGACTAAATAATGCATAAAAAAAGGCTTTTGGGACATTGACTGAAATGGTCATACTGTTAAACACAAACCAGGACTGAAGCTACATGTGTTCACCATACTATACAGCAACACTGTTCATTAAGGTGTTTCATGACAATGTTTTCTACAAGTTTAATCTCTGCACAAAAAGTTCAAACACAAAACAATGTCTGAATGTTTTTTTTTTTAATTTTATTTTGCACTTTTAATCACATTTTTATTTTCTTCTCCACCATCTGGCTAGCAGTGGGTAAAAACTGGATGAGACAATTGCTGCAGTCAGCCGGTTTCTTCTATTCTAAATTGTCATAACTAAAGAGTTTTCACGTTCAAAACATAGCAACAGCAGTCTTTTCAGCACACGTGATGGTTTTTGGGCTGACTATTCACTGAGCCCCGTCCCCTTACTGTTGCTGACCTGTCAATCAAATCAACAAATTTACTGATCAGAATTCACAGCGATAAACAAATCTGTGAGGTGTTTTATTCAGGCAGAGCAGCCTTTTGTTTCTAGATGTCAAATGTTAATGTTTCCTCCTGAAATGAGAACTTTCTTTGGTGAATCTTTTGAGCTATATCCAACTAGCAAATGGAGCTCATGTTACCCCCATCCTAGGCAGAAAACACAGTCTGAGTTATTAAATGCTTCCAGTGAACCTATTCTCACAGGAGAAACAAAAAACATAAAATAGTTTTTTTGGATGTGCTGGGTATGAAAATATCCTGTACTCCCCTCATGGAATACTCCCTGACACTATGTAAAACCAATTAAGTGACTAACTAGTTACTGTGCAGTAAGCCCACTAACTAGGCATGAGAATATGACAGCAGATAAGCAAATACAGTCATCAACTAAAGTTTATATACACTTGTAAAGACCATGCATATCGTGCCAGTCTTGAGTTTCCAGTGACTCCTATAATTTTACTGTAAGTTATCTGGAGATATGACAAAATCTGCTGGGTCAAAAATATACATACAGCAATGCTAATATCTGGTTAAATGTCCCTTGGCCATTTTTACCTCAACTAGGCACTTTTGGTCGCCATCTACAAGCTTCTGGTTGTATCTTTTGGGATCTGAAATATCTTTGAAATGGCTCCAAGTGACCTTTTTTTTGTTCCAAGTCAGTGACCTGCTTCTTTGGATCATGTTAGATCACTTTAAAGACATCCTCTCTTCAGTGACATTAAATCTTTCACCATAAAGTGATTGAAATATTTACCTGCTCCCAGACTTTCTGTAGTACGTATTCTTATCTAGTACTCAGCCGATCAGAATTTCCCACTGTAGTAATGAGTGTATTAAATGGGCTCGTTTAAATTGGCCAAGAGAGGTCAGCAGCTGGAGTCAATAATAATCACTAACAGGAAGTTAAGAGGTCACGCCACTAAGAAAATTTGATTCACACAACTTTCTACATCACCATTACTGATGAATTCAAGTTGTTATATTATTGACCCAACACATTGTGTCATATTTCTAGAAGACCAATAATAAATCTATAAAAGAAACAAAATGCAATGCAAAATGCTTGTTTTTGTGATAAAGATACATGTGTTTCAATCATTCCATTACATAAAATTAGGAGCTGTAGGAGTCATTAAGAAACTCAAGACTGCCATGATACATATGGTTTACAAGTGTATGCAAACGTTTTCTTATGATGTAGTTAAATCCATTCCTCAATTCTATGCTTCTAATTTTGGACAGATCAAATAAGATAGAAAACTCTTGCTATAAAATATTGTTCGGCACACAAGTTCAACATATGTAGAAAAGCCAGGACACAGCGACATTACTATTATGCATCGCCGCAGGTGAATCAGAGTGCATGCTTATAAGTGGAGCTGGGAGGGGTCATGAGTGAAATACACTTTGCTCTCTAGGACGTGGAAACTCATACAAGAGGTGGAAGTTTGGTGACCCAGTGCAGTTCACACATTTGCCTAAACAGTAATACATTTGCATGTTATAGATGAGCTCTGCTGTTTGTGAGGAGGTCACGCTAAGTTTGTCTGGGTCAGGGGTCCTCACATCCTGAACTCTTTCTGTAGTTCTTAGCCTTAGTGTTCCTGAAGTAGGTAAAGCCCTGGGTGGACTCTTCTATCTTCTTCTCTCTCTCCACCTGTTTGCTGTCCTCTGTCCAAGCCACAGCTCCACTTGTATCTGTCTCTTCATCTTTGCCTTTTTCCTCAGTCTTTTCTACGCTTTTTTCTGTTCTCCTTCTCATCTTCTCTTTTTGCCTGCCCTCTTCATCCTCATCCTCCTCCTCCAGGTGACTGAGGTGCATTCTCCTCTCTTTTACTCTCACAGTTGACAGATGGTCAGCAGGTTGTTCTTCCGCCTGTCGCTTTGGTCTGGAGAAAATCATCTTCTGCTGGCTGTCACAGGAAGAATCCCTTGTTCTCTCCTGCTGCAGACTGGACAGGAACTGGTGAGCCACCTTGCGGTTGTCTTGATCGCTGGTCTCTGTCACATCCTCCAGACTGTAGCGTGTCCACTTTTCGGGGTGCACCAAATAGTCCGGAACTCCTCTCTTCTTTGGTGGTATGGGACAGTTGGACGAAAGGTGGCTCGTCTTACGGCTGGGAAATGGAGGCTGAGTAAACAGTCTGTCTGTAGTGCTCTCCTGACTAAGAGAGGAGGAAGTCTGCTGGTCAACACTGTCTAGGCAGTCAAAGATACTGTGACTGCGGTCTGAGAAGGCTGAGCTTCCTCCGCTCAAACTGAATGAACTCCGAGCTGTGTGAAAAGCAGCTGGAACAGAGTCGTCATCTTCATTGTGGTCCAGTTCTCTGATGGGTGGTTCTTCAGGCTCAGAGTCATCACTGACTGAGAGCTGGTCCACATAATCGCTGTTAAGCATCTCACTGTGCTCTCTGTCGTGCTCCTGATCACCCATCTTTATACTGCAGCTCAGCGCAATCAAGAACCTGATAAAGGAGAGAGGAAAATGTCAAACCTGCAGCAATATTTGTAATATATTTGTGTTACAATTAATATACTATGACACCACTGTGTTTCAGTTTGTGGCCTTCATCAGGGACATCATAAAGCACATTAGTGAGAGATAACTTACAATGGTCGAAGAAAAACTTCAACAAATTTTTAGCTCAAAAAACAGAGTAAGCTAACAACCATCTAGTGTCGGTCACTTCATTAAATGTCAAGAGTTAAGAGAGCAACGCTGCTTATATGAGGACACCTACAGGCTGCTGGCAGAAAACAGTTAGAGACAAAAACATTTTTAAAATCCATGTTAACAGTCCATCATATCTCTCCAACCTGTCATTAAAATTAGAGTTCCATGATATGCTGTTTAAGCATCTATGTTGTTATGTGCACAACAGTTACATCACAAGAAATGCAATGTGAGGGAAGGCAAATGAACTCAGACAGAGCCTCACTTACTCTGATTTATTGATTTTTTGAATACACAGTTGTTCTTTTGTTTACTTTTACACAGCTAAATGAGCATGAACAGGAGAAAAACACTAAAACAGGAAGATTTGATAGCAAAAAATAAACACAATGAAAGTTGTAGGGCTGCACAATTAATGGAATATTTAGCATAATGAAAAATGTGGCTTTCCACAATCAAATAAACAATCTATTGTAATAGTGATGTTTAAAATGCTTCTCTCATAGAAAAATCTGCTCACAGAAAACAATGTGTAGGTGAAATCAGTTTGTTTCAACTTTGGTAAATCTGACACTAGAACACCTTATTTCACTTTTTCAAAGTAATTTTTGGTCACACACTTGTTTGAGCTGCTGTGCAGCAGCAACTTGAGTGGAGACTAGGGACTTTTCTGTGCACAGCCACCTTGCCAGCATCTACCTTAGCCTGCATGTGAGGCAATTCAGGAACATTAGGGTGTCCATCAATAGGCAGATGTTAAGCAAGTGAGGTGCTTTGGGTACCATTGTATTTATATTTTGCCTGTAGGATATGCACTAAATTTAAGAGAAGAGGAACCTTATTTTAAGTCTTATATTCATACAAAAATGTGTACATTAGCAGGAATGTAGCACAACAAGGAAGTGAAGGCAGAGCCCTGTTCATTTGAATGTGAAAGGACAATAAAATATTATGTCTTGATAAGACATGACAAGACATAGTCGCAACAAATGGGCTATTCATGATCTGTTTGTGAGCAATAACCAGAATACTGGTGATTACTGTTTTAGTCATAATTGTGCATGGCTAGTCAGCTGTGTGCAACACAATCAATTGGTTTGACTGTTTAAACCCATACCACAAACCTCTGTACGAGTGCAAAGCCAGAACTGAATTCTATTTAAAGCAAAACAAACAAACAAAAACTATTTGACTGTCTTTACAGTTTAACACCATATGAGATAAGATCTAGGCTGTTCACACCCAAAAAAAAAATTTCACAGCAAATGTCACTTTTCAGCTTTTTTCAACTTTTCAAGGGTGTGCTTGCTTACAAAATCATTTAGATGTTGACTTAACGAGTGTTTTTTGAATTGAATATATTTTTACTAGTTTTTCATTAATGTGAATTTGTTACCAACATGCATGTTGTATGGTTGATGGTTTATCACAGATGAATGCATTCAGATCACACATCATATACTGGCAGCATTACATGACTCTACTCTACTGTATAATGCCAACAGTCTGATTTAATTTGAACCACGTAATAGAACCAAAGCCTCTGCTAAGGGATGTGAGGACTGTTAAAAGAATACCTATACAAAAGCTTCAGCCCTGACAGTCTGAATATCTGACAGATACGTAATATAGGCTGTTGTCCTGTATTTATAGAAACTGATTCGTGTCAAAGAAAATTTTAATAACGCAATGTGTTTCTCCAAGTTCCTGTACAGACTGAAGGCTGGTAGAAACTGTCCGTCATTACTGTGGACTTTTACCTCCGTCCTGCTGCAGGCCGCTCGGATCTCTTTCTAAGAACACTTTATCTTGATCAAGCTGACTAGATTGTCCAGCTCACAACAGTGCAGCTCGCAGTGTGAACTAACATGAACTAACACGTGTCTAGCATCTTTTATGGAATATGTATAATGAGACGTCCTATGTTATGATGTGCCGTGATCGATTTCCGGGTCACGGGCCGGAGGACCGAGGATCGTGGAGTTGAGGAAATTGAAATCTGTGAAATGACATGAGCCTGGGCCAAGTCCGGATCAAGTCGGACAGAAATTAACCAGCATGCATTGGGCGTCGATCGCCGGTAATCGAAACCGCGCAGATCTAGTTTACATCGAACTGGCCTGCTAGCTAGCATGCTAACTGACCTGGTGCTGTAGCGCCATCGGGCTAAAGGGCAGGACGTCGGCTCGGTAAAACCACATCAGATATGAGACACTTTCATTTCACAGATTTTCTAATAAAATGTGTTTTGCTTTTAAATATAAAATCATCTGTAGTTTACCTGCCTGCTGGCCAAATATTAAGGTTAATCTTCTTTCACGAGCATGCTCGACTCCTTCCTCCTCCGGCCCTTGACCCGGAAACCAATGTGCTTCATGATTCCATAGGACTGGTCGACCGGCGGGTTCGAGGTGAACTGCGCCTCCTGGGAAGTGGCTGAGAGCAGGCGGCAGTTAAAAGCCGACAGTCAAGACGGACAGTTCCAGCAGCCTCAGTCAGCACAGAAACTCACAGAAACAAGCTGATTTATCATAATGTTGTCTAATGAGTTTGTACAGATTCCCATAGTTTTAATTACGGCAGAGCAGCCTTTAGGATGCCATACAGGCGATCTGAGATCTCTGTTCATAGTTCATTCATTTTACATGAATTCTCCTGCAAATCAGCCTCAGATCAGATTGGGACTGTAGATAAATTAGGAGACCAAACCTGTCCTTCTTAAACTACGGAAATGCAAAGAAAACAAATATATAAAGGCAAATACAATAGTATAGTATACTAGTATACAGAACAATTGTTTTTATTACTGATCTGTCAGATATTCAGACCGCTGGGGCTGAAACTTCTGTACAGGTGTTATTTTAACAATCTTCATATTCCTTAGCAGAACTGTTGTTGCTAAATACTTCAATAATTAAATCAGCTCAGTGTTCATATACTAGAACAACACACTGTCTGCAGTTAATGGTGTTTGATTTTAATGTGTACAGCCTTTCTAGTTGGTAAACATTGACCATACAAGTAGAATAAACATTCAAAATCTATATGTATAAAAAGAATAAAAAAATTGCTGTAAATCATGCAAAATGAAAAGTTTCTATCCGACTTGATATCATGAGATCAATACGCTGCAATTTTTTGCAACCAGATGCTGCAGTTGCTCTCCAGCAACTGCACGGCCTCAGAGCACGATGGAAAGTGTCTGGCGCTCACCTGATCTAACAGCTGATTGCTTTAGATGACACAGCGTGCCACATGTCATGTTTAAATGACATGGCTTTAAAACTGTCACAGGAAATTCAGAGATTCAACTGCAGACAGGAACCACTGACCAGATGAATGGATAAAATGAGTTTATTTCACAAGGAGTAAACACAGAGTGAATATGCAGGGTATGAAGACTTAGTCAGCAAGGTCACAAGCTCCATACTATTGACAGTCACTGCTGATTAAATCCTGAGAATACACATATACTTATAGGGAGAGGCACTGACAAAGTAATTCAAGGCACAGAACAGTGGTAGGGACAAGCGAACAATTTACGTCAGCAGAAAGTCAGAAACTGAATGTATGACACGACACAATGCTACACAGATATGGGCTGTTTCTAAATATGTGCCATTGTGTGTACTTGTGAACTTGTCAAACATCATCAGTTGGAGCCCAAATACTGTTCCAATCTAAAGTACACATCCAGCCAAGTGTGGATGAAATGTCTGAATGTGTTCTCGCTCCGGCTACATTATCAAGGATGCATCAAGACCACACTTGTGTGGACTTGGGGCAGCGAAGTATCCCATGATGCATTTTGCACCAACCACCAGTAAAGGCAGAGGAGAAACCTTACAAAAGTAGTCCAGGTTTTTTGGAAATACTGTTATTGTGAGAAAAAATGTAGTTTAAAGATCATTTTAGGTGAGAACACCAAACCTTGCTGCTGCTGCCTGCACTTGTCCACTTTACAGGTGAGGCTTGGCTTGTTCTGAAGTAACCTAATTTCTAAGCAGGGTTTTGGGGTTACCGGAGGAAGCCTGGAAGTGTTAAAAAAGGTAAATCGACAAGGAAGAAGCAACAAGCACTAAAGTGACAAGAAAGAAGAAGTTTACATATGTAGAAACCTTGTTTATAGATAATGCCTAACGGGCCTTCAGCCACATCTGTGTGCAGTTGTTTGTCCCGCGATGGCATGATGATGAATTTCAAGTGTGCTTCTCCTTAAGTGTCTTGAAATTTAAATTTTAAAAAATAACAAATAAATAAAATACCCCAAATCGAGAACAATGCAGAACATGTTTTGGCATTAACAGTATTTCACAAGGTGCTATCCCATGCCTATTCATAAAACCTCAGGCAGTCAGCTTCAAGGTGATGGCACCTCAGTTTAAGGGTTTAATGTCCTTGCTGTTCCTGTGCCATAGACTAAACACATTTACATGACTACATCAGTGTAGTCTAAAAGCATATAGGCCACAAGAACACAGTTCCAGAAACACCAGACCCTCATTTATAGCTCAGAAAACATACCTATATTAAACTTTTTTAAACTACTTTATTACTTTGATAATTTGTGACTTTTACGAGAAATTACTATTAATGGTATTGTCCACCACAGAAAATGACATATTTTTCTGTTAGGACTTGGTGCATAGAATGTATAAGAAAGAAAATATACAGTCTGTGACTTGGAGAGACTCCAGCTGCAGGGTTTTTTGTATGTTCTGTGTTTGTGACTAATGCCAACTACTTTTTAAACTAGAATTACGTTTACGAGTCCTAAAATCTTTAATCAATCAATCAATCAATCAAAGTTTATTGTCATATGCACAGTGTTTCCCTGTACAATGAAATTCTTTCTTTGCTGTCCACAGTGAATGCCATTGATAAAATATTACAAACATTGGTGTTGTGTTGTTTTTTGGTGTAGCAATTTCCCTGAGGTCTTGTACCGAAGGGAATAATAAAGTTTTTTTGTAATTTTTTTATTCTAAGTTTTAAAAAAAAAATTCTAATTCTATTACTAAAAATGCACTAAAAATGCGTCCATGGCAGTCTGGAGGACCGAAACAGCGTTCTGCGCATGCTCAACAGTCCTCCCCTGTCCATTAGCTAAAGGGCAGTTTCGGCGCCGGGAGGGCGGGGCTTCCCCCTGCTTTCGTGCTCTGATTGGCTCTGGCTGTGTAGACCGGGATGTTTGAAAGTAACAGGGCGTTTTGTGTCTGTCAGATAGATGAAACTACACCGCTGTAATCTGGCTTTAGTTCAATAACAGAAAAGTCGGTAGTTCCTATAAGTTCTTCATGGAGCAGGAATCACAGCAAACTGCAAGCACCGAAAACGACATGTCGGACCCTGCTTTGGCTGACCTGGATTGTGCTGTTAAAGTAGAACTCGACACGGACAACAGCTCTTCTGAAGTAGGCCATCTGTCGAGTGTGTCTCAAGGTAGGAAAGTGCAGCATGTCACTACTCAACCAGCACTAATTCACAATACCAGTGAGTCTACGGTTACCTGAACAAGGTTAAACCAGTCTTGCCTGATGCAACGTAAAGTTTCGAGTTCGTGTGCCTTTTAACACTTTGTTGTGTGTATTAGAGCAATGATCTCTGACAAAAGGGTTCAGTAGCTTCTTGTAGAAAGTAATGCTATTAATCCACAACGTTACTCAACCGGAAGCTATTTCCGCAACGCGGCCTCAGTTTGTTCCGATGCATTTTATCAAATCAAACCAATGTTACACTGCGTGTTGTTACGATGGGAGGCTGCTGTGTGTGTTTCTGTGAACAAACCAGAGTTGAGCTATAAGTTCTACTCTGTATCTCTGACACTAAATGCACAACACAACACAACAGGCTTCTATGTTGTGGGTTTTGCTTGGTCAGACAATAATTGGTTTTGTGTGTCGTTGTTAAACAGACAGCGTGTGTCTGTGTTAAGTTCTGACTATGAGCAGTTGATCTGGGCGTGTCTCCTGAATAACCACCAGGTGTTAAACACCTGACAGAATGGAGAAGATGTCTATAGATGAAGACTGATCCTAATCGAGCTGATCAGTGGAACAATAAGTTCAACGCCGAAGTAGTATTTGTACCGCTGGACTACAGGGTTTCGAATTCTCTCACCGAACTTGAAAAATATGTGATTTTTAAAAAAATGTCATTTGAGCCAGCACGTTTCGTTTTGCTGTCTGTAGATGACACTGACATAGATATAGACTTAATTAACCAGTGATGTTTACGTTTTTCGGCGAGGTCTTCTTCATGTAGTGTCTTTGTGTTGACACACACTCGGGTCTGGTCAGGACCAATCTGCGAACGGAACATCTGGAGTGTAAATACAGCAAACATCACCAGTTAAACTGGAACACCGGCGTTTTGAACAAATCTTTGTTTCGCTGCATTCTGACATTTTGACTGACAATGACATCGCATGTCTGCTGCTGTACTACAACACATAGCAGTCCTGTCGTTGTCCTCTTTTTAAAGTGGTGTCTGCTCTCAGAATGCTGTGCGGTCAGTGCTTTACATTCTTCATAAGATCTTATCTCAGACACACAGCAAAGGTGGTGGCTGTGCCTCAGTAGGTACCTGTCCTCACCTCCTCTTGTCTGAAGGTTGAGGTGTACTTGGGTGAGACAGTGAGTCCAAAACTGCTCTTAATGGTCAGATTCATGTATTTCCAACAGCTTTGTTTCATAATGAAGAAGCAGATGAAGAAGAGGATGAAGATGGCAGTGATGATGACAGTGGCACAGACAACTTTAACATTGAAAAGTCAGGGACCCAGCTGCAGAGATGTGAGCGATCTGGAGGAGGGAGTCTTCCTGACACGTTCCAGACCAGCCACCTGCTGTTCTATGAGAGGTTCAAGGTGTACCAGGACTACATGCTCGGTAACCCGTTCTGATTCAAACACAACAATAATCTTTACTCTGAGTCATTCAACTCCTAATGCTAGTTCTTCTTTGTATACTTATCCAAATCTGCTGTTTGCGTGTAGGGGACTGTAAGCCCTCAGAGGTGAAGACCTTCTCAGCAGACTACCTGGAGAAAGTGTTGGAGCCGTGTGACTGGTTGGCTCTATGGACTACTGATGTCTTTGATGTTCTGGTTGAGGTAAGTCCAACTGTCACACACATCTTTACTGATATTGTAGGTTTAGATTTGTTTTCACAAAGCTGAAATATCTGGTCTCAAATAGCAGTACCCTTTTTTATTTTATTTCTGTTACATATGTTCTCAACATTCACACCTAAAGGGGGGTGAAAATCCTGCCGTGTGGGAGTTGTGGTGAAAAAGCACATAGGAGAAGGGCAGGCAGCAAAATGAATTTGTGTGACTACACAAGGGGTGTTGGCCAGTTTACAACTGTTTGTGATTTCAGGTGAAAGATTTGGACCTGAAGGATCTGAAGGCATGTGTAAGGCTGGTGCTGCCACTGCAGTGTGACACCAGAGGCTGTGAACTCACTGAAGATGCCATGAAATCTCTTCTGGAGGCAACTCAGCATAAAGTCCCCCTACAGCAACTGCAGGTGGTCTATGAGGAGTCTGGGGACTTTGATCAGACTGCCCTTGCTCTTGAGCACCTCAGGTAGGCCTCTGCTGATTGGACCTGTGTCTACTGATTGCATCCATGCCAGGAGTTCATGTGTTGTTGTGTGCCCACATACCCCTGCACTGCAGGTTTTTCTACAAACACATCTGGAGGCAGTGGGATGAGGAAGATGAAGATGATGATTTTGACTACTTTGTGCGTTGTGTGGAGCCTCGTCTCAGACTGTAAGTACACCCTCAGTAATAATGGTGATCTTGCATTAATAAGTGTCGGTGAATATCCATGAGTCCTGTTGTGAAATGCATCATTTTCAGCTACTACGACGTGCTAGAGGACAGAGTCCCAGCAGGCCTGGTGATAGAATACCAGTCCTTACTGGAAAAGTGCTCCCAGTGCTTCCAGCAGTTTTCTGTGCTGCGCAGCACCCTGAGCACTGACTCCGACTCTGAGCTGGATAATGTGTCCATGGTTGAGGGCCTGAAGCTGTGCGACCAGCTGGAGACATTCAAACGCAAGCTACACATCATTGAGAACCCCCTGTTGAGGTAAGAGATCTTTGTGTGGCCGTCCTCCCTCTTACTGTTTAGTGCTCTTAGTCTCTCATCCAACATTCCTCACAACCTTCTGTCTACACCTGTCCAGGTATGTGCTAGCCTACAAAGGAAATACCAGGCAGCAATGTGTGCAGAGCCGTGGCCCCAGAGAATCGGGTATGAAGGTGGTTCATGTGGTTACAGCCTCTTGCAGCTCTATCCAGCTTCAGTCTCTCCTAAGTGCCAGACTGATGCCTCTCTGTGCCTCTGAGGATGCTGAGATCCAGGTCAGTAAAACACATGCTTGCAATGACCAGGGCTGGCCTCTGACAGCAGTCACTTTAGCAAAACACAAAGATTCATTAAGCTCTCACAGCGACAGGACTGTCAAGACTCATTATTTACATGAGCAAAGTTCAGTGTGTAAAATATTAAGGAGGGAACTTCTCAATTTCTCAAGTACTGACCACCACCTTTTTATCAGGTAAAACTCTAAATATCAACAGTGCGTTTAAGGTCAGCTGTAGATGAGAAAGCTTCTCTCAGTAAAACTAGTGTTCACTGATAAATAATCTCTCTGCTGCTGCTGCGGCTATGTTCAATCATACAGACTGTTTGTGGATAAAAAGCTCCACTCTGCATTGACCCTGTGACTGAGCGGGAGCTCAGCCAGATGAGGTGTACACTCACCATAATGCTCGGTACACAGCAAATAACAAAAGAGTTGACTGCTTTTAAAATGGAAAGACACATTTCTGTTGTTTGTTCCTTACAACTTGTGTCACCGAATATAAGTTTGTCCTGACGGTGGTGCCAGAGGAGAGCCAACAGTGTTCTCATTGTGTCGACTGGCTATCAATAGTGCCTGTCAAGCCTAAGCAGCACTGTATGTACAAACATGGTGGGTGAGTTGTGTCATGTGTTTAGTTCCACAGAGAGCCAGTATCAGCAGTGGATTCATGCCATCAGGGTGACGTGGTGATTGTTCTCCCAGGGATCTACTGTGTCAACAGTTCCATTTTCATACCAGATTCCATCACCATGGAAGGTAGAAAAAATTAACTTTCTCATGTGTTCATGTAGAGCACATGTACTGTTTAATTTTATCCCACTTTCACCATGTTGTTAAATGAGCTGAGGACAGCGTCACGTGTCTTCTCATTCAAATCATAGTGCAGGACTGATGCCACAGATGATGAGCAGATAAGACCAAATTGTTTTAATTTAGTTTTAATTTCACTTTCATTCAGACTATGTTAACTCTTTTATTTATTTCTATGTTTACAAGTAGCAATGCATGATACTGGATTTTACTGGAGTCCAAAGTGCTTGAATTCCAGTGTGATGTTTCCGTAGTCTGATGATTTGTGGTGCCATATCATTTGCTGGTGTTGGTCCTCTGTGTTTTATCAAGTCCAAAGTCAACGTGGTATCTACCAAATCCTTTTAGAGCACTCCTGCTTCCATCTGCTGTGTTGTGTTGCTGACTCCCTTGAAGAATAAAATCTGGGTTTAAAATTGAACTGAGTTATTGTGCATCTAGATATGTTGAATAACCTCCTATAGGACAAAGGCTTTCAGTGCAGTCTAATATTCACACAAGCAATTTACCATGATTACAGAGCTGCTGTGTCATGACAGAATTCTTGGTAATAGTGTGGTCTGTGTGCCAGGCTTTGGGTTCCCTGATGAAGTGGTGATTGAGAAGAAAAACAAAGGCGACTCATTTGTGGAGTCGACAGGAGCTGATGTCAGACTGTCCAACATCAAGTTCATCCAACATGATGCTATTGAAGGCATTCTGTGTGAGTACTCCATACTTAGAACTGCTATCATATTGAGCCTCTTCAAGATTTCACTTTAACAGAAAAGCTTTCCAAGAATTACTTTGGAAACTGGTACATGTTGGAAATACATTTAGCAACTGTCATTAAACTGGAAGCTGTAAACGGTCCAGTTTGAACATTTAGATACTTGTCAGAGTTCAGATGCTGAGCTGCTCCAACAACAAACTGAAACACAATCCTTTGCTCCATCCAATGTATTTTTACTTTATAAATATCTAACTTTGTCAATTGTGCTGCTGCCTGTCTTGGCCAGGACACTCTTGAAAAGAGATTTTTAATTTCAGTGAGCCTTTTCCTGGTTAAATAAAGGTTAAGAATAATAAGAATAAATCCTCTCATTCTCTTGTAAATGCCATGCTGTGACAATGGTCCAACCACTAAACACTTATCGGTCTCCTCACAGGGTGATGGGAAACTCCTCTGGAGTGACAGAGTTATGACCAATAACACCAAGTCAGTTAATCACGTGTTCACACTCAAAACAAAAAAAATTCTCTAAAAAATGATCTCTCTCAATATTCTGGCATTTAGCAAAAAGAAATAATTTTGGTAATCCTAACTGACCTAAAACAGGAAACGTTTAGTCAGATTTAATGTCACACAGTGTAAAAAAAACCCCCAAAAAACAAAAAAACATGTCTTTTTATACAGAGTAAATAAACTTCTGTTTCAACTGTATGGGAGTATACGTATACATATATATGTACATACACACACATGTACACTGTATACATGTACATTTCCATGTGCTGTTGATTCAACTCATATTTCTGTTGAGTGTAGTGTAAAACAATGATGGTTGTTCACATGCCAGGTCTGTTCTAACGTCTGTTCCTGTCTGTTGATTGTCAGGTGTGCGTCAGGGAACTCTGAACATGGAAAACTGTGTGCTGCAGTGTGAGACCACCGGAGTTATTGTCCGAACATCTGCCCGTCTCACCATGAACATGTGTGACCTGTATGGCTCCAAGGTGGGTGCATATGGCAAGCACTTGTAACACTTTGTCAGTCGCAGTAATATCTATTAAAGATATTAACTGCTTTTTGACTAGCTTTTTTTTTTTTCAAATGTTGCAATTCTAATTAAAGACACCTACTCTTAATTTGTCACAAGTCAAAATGCTCATTCTTTATATCCCCAATTCATTTCATACTCGTGAAAATGTCTATCACAGATATCTATTGCAAGCCATTTTACCATTTAATAGCTAACCTAAACATGGATTGTACATATCCATAATTAAATTTTTTCTTAGTCAAAAACAACAGTTCAGATATCTACATGATCTTTTTTCCTATTCACAAGTCAATCTTTCTTGGATGAATGACATCACTTTTACTATTTAAGTGTATTGAGCTTCTCATCACAGATGTCTGCGGTTTATAATTATAAGCCAAGAGTTCTTCTGTTGTTATTTTAAGAGAAAATTGAAACTAAGAAACAACTGCCTTAACATTTCTGTATTTTCCCCCTTTGTTAAATTTCCTCTTTTATTCTTATCTTTTATGTAAAAAAATGAAGGTCAGGACTTTATTTTTGACAGTGTACTTCTTAATACCACTGCAACTACTAATATTTGATTATAAAAAGAGTGGAAATAAGGCAAAGGTTGGCCTGCAACAATCACTACATCAGCTGGCTAGGCCTGCATTGTTATTTCTTTGATGTTCAACAACAGATTAGTCCCGGTGGTTCGTGCATAGATCTGGGAGATAAAATAAAACAATAACTATGGATCAACAGAGATTTCCATGATTGAAAAAATGTTTGATAGAGTGTTGGCTGCTTTGATTTAGATGCAATTTTAGATGCAAGTTCTATTGCATAAACAAACACCAAGCTCCTCCATCCTTGCCTTAGAAACAGCCAATGGTATCGCTGACAGCTGAGTACGCTGTGAGTGACACACAAACATCAAGTCATTTAACAAGTGTTAGAGCTTTTAAAAAGTTGTTTAAAAAGCTGTGCATTTACTGTTTCTGAATGACCTCATACAAATTTCTGGTCTCTCTCTACTGGTTTGTTTTGTGACTAAAAAAGCAATGTAGTTGATAGATTGTTGGTCTGCTGACATTGTTGATGTGATTATGTTACTGTGTACTGTACGCAGGGGGCAGGTGTGGAGATTTACCCTGGCAGTGTTTGCAGTCTGGTTGGTAATGGCATCCATCACTGCAAGGACGGGATCCTCATCAAGGTGAGATGAAACAAGTCCTGCAAACACTCCGCCGGTTTGAAAAACGATCCCAGTATTTTGTACCAAGAATAACTCTGTGAAACTGTTGGAATGTGCTTCCAGTTTATCATATAAAATACATGAAGTAGTTATTCCTGTACTGAGTCAACACATATAACCCTCGTATGTCCAGTGCCTATAAAAAGTATTCACCCTCCCCCCCGGAAGTTTCACCTTCTATTGCTTGTCAACATTGAATCCTGGTCAATTTAATTGGGCTTTTTTGATAATAAATCAAACTTTTTGTGTCAGTTTGAAAAAAGCTTGATTTGTACAAAGCAATGTCAATTCATTAAAAAGAGACAATTTAAAATAAATGAATGCATGAATATTTCCCCCCATAAGTCAGTGTTTAGTAGATGCACCTTTGGCCACAATTACAGCACTAAGCCTGTGTGAATAGGTCTATCAGCTTTGCACATCTAGAAAATTGAATTTTATCCCATCCTTCTTTGCAAAACTGTTCAGGTTCTGTCAGATTGCATTGAGATCATGAGTGAACAGCCCTTTTCAAGTCCAGGCACAAATTTTTGATTGGGTTGAGGTTGACTTGACCACTCCCGAATATTCATCGTGTTGCCTTTAAACAATTCTTCTGTAGCTTTGGTTGTATGCATCAGACAATACAGCTGGCCAAAAAACAAATGTTCTGCCAAGTGGCGGTTCTTTTGTAGACTGCATCAGGTTTTCCTTCAATATTTCCCTGTCCTTTGCTTCATTCTTTACCTGTATAGGCCTTTCTGAGAATGTAGGAGGTGGCTCAAAGGCTTTGCCAACGCTAGACAGATATCAAGGTGTGCCATGTATCTAACTCAGAAACAGGATAAGTAGATATACATGTTATATGTGATGAAGACACTTATTTAACAACTAAATGTCTGTGCAGATTACAACATGAACCAACCATTTCTGCTCCTAATTTTTGATAAACCAGAGATATTAAAAGGGTGTGTGTGTGTGTGTGTGTGTGTAGGACTTTGCTGATGAGCTAGATGTGATGCCATCCATTACCATGGAGAACAATGTGGTCCACAACAATGAAGGCTACGGGGTGGTTCTAGTGAAACCCAACAATGCAGAACAGCACAGTGGTTCTGTGGAAAAAAGTGAAGGTATGTAGAGCTTTGATAACAAGACAGTTTGTAACAGTTAAAAGCTCAGCACAAAAGCACTATTCAACTGACCTTTTTTTTTCCCACCCCAAGACCCAGCTGCAAACAAACAGGAAAAAATGACCGACTTAATCTCCACATTGTCAATGTCTTCATCATCATCATCGTCATCATCAGTGACATCAACAACCACTACCCCGACGAGTAGCAGCAGCTCAGCTGGTCCTCAGCCTGAGTCAGCAGACAACAACAGCACAGGTGGTGACATGGCCTCCGCAGGCCGGAAGTGGCAGTTAAATCATCAGCTGAGCAGAAACAAAGAGATGTCTTGCAGTCGAGCAGTCGAGGATCTGATGGACCACCAGATCTTTGTCTCTATTCAAGGAAACCAGTTTAGACGCAATGGCATGGGTGACTTTGGGACCTTTTTCTACTGATCAGGACTTGAGACTGAACGTTGACACTGTAAGAACACAGTTTTTAACATCCATTATATGTGATTTTGGGCAAAAAATATTACATGACAGCAGAATGATTTTTTTTGCTTGCCATGAAATGAGATTTTTGCTGATACACTATCTATTGAGGAGGTATAAAGACAGTTGTAAGAGAGGAAGTGAATTGTGGTCATTTACTGTATAAGCTGGCTTTGTGTGTTTCTATCAGCACTTTGAACTTGGCACACAGTGATGATGAATGGATCCCTGCTTTTGTTTTTGCACTCATGCTTTTATCCTATTTATTCCTTTGGGCTTCTGATACTACAAAATCTTCTTGTGCATGCAATTCTTTTAGTTTGAAATCCACTTGTCAATTTTAGTGTGACAAAATGTTATTTTCTAGGTCGTGGCTTGTTGAAAGCAGTGTTGATTGTTTAAAGTTCACAGTTTTTGTCGTCATGAGATACATTTGATTTTCACTTGGTGTCTCTCGTCTTTTTAAAGGTGTAAGTCATGTACTTTGGGGTTACGGGAAGTTTCAGCATTCAGGTTGACATGTTCTGTAAGCAGAAGTCCAATAAAAATAAACTGAGGTTTTATAATTTACAAAAACCACCTGACATGATTTTTTTCTTCAACTACAACTAGTATTGTGAAAATTGTAAATACAAATTTCCTGTAGATTTTTTTTTTTTAAAGTGTTGTAGAAGCCATCAATGTAATAACAGCCGATAACGTAACAACAGCAGAAAACAAAATAAATGTGCACTTTATAAAATTTAATAGTCCATAATGTAATAACTGGGCAATAATGTAATGAAAGTCCTGAACTGATAACGTAATATCTTTTGGTCAATAAAGTAATAAGTTGTTGTGTTATTGGCCTGGGTTAAAAAAAAAAAAATTCTTTGCAAATATAATAGCCAGCCAATAAAGTAATAAGCTGTGGTGTTATTGGCCAAAGTTATTACATTATCAGTTCGGGACTTTTATTACATTATTGGCCAGTTTTTACGTTATCAGCCTATTCCATTTTAAAAATGGAAAATTTCTATTACTACATTATCAGCAGTTATTACGTTACTGGCTTCTACAAGTGTCCTTTCCAAATTCAGTGTATGTGCAGTATGACTGACATCCTTTATTAATGTGTGTTTTGCAAACTGACTGGATTCCAAAGACTATCACTAGGAATCATGAAAATTAAATTGCTGTTTTCATGCAGCCAAAACTACGAGAAAAAAATGTGTTCATAAATTTACAAACTAGTGGACTGGGACAGGATTCTCCTTTTATAGAAGCAATGTACAGATGTGGTGATACTCAGGGCATCAGACTGCAGTGTTGAAGCTTTCTTCAGAGAATGAGAGATCTGCTCCCATGTGTCCACAAGTTGCCCATTTTTTTCTTCTGTGCATTGGGGGGAAAAAAACAGGTGCTAGTTCATGCACAGAACAAGTGAAAAGGGAGGGGAAACGTGGAAGAAAGGGAGTAGTGGGAGTGAGTGGGACAGCAAATCTGAATATGCTAACTTGGAAAATATCAAGCATCTTTCTCAAGAAGCATAGGCTCCACCTTTAAGACCATATTCAAAAGAATTGCTTATAAAGACCCTTTCCAAAAACGTAGAATATCATGAAAAGTTTATTTATTTCCATAATTCCATTCAAAAAGTTAAACTTTCATAGATTATAGATTCAGGGCCCACAATTTAAACAATTTCAAGTATTTATTTGTTTATTTTTACATAATTTGGCCTTCCAGCTCATAAAACCCACAGAAACAGGAATTCAAAAAATTAGAATACTGTGAAGAAATCAGTCCAAATTTTGCAGGGCATGAATGTTTTAAACTGAGTGTCACACACTAATCACCTGCTAAACTCAAAGCACCTGCACAGGTTTCCCCGGTGTCATTAAACTGCTTCAGTTTGGTTCAATATGGGGAAGACTGCAAACTTGACAACTGGTCAGAAGACCATCATTGATACCCTCCATAGGATGGGTAAGCCACAAAAATTCATAGCTAAGGAGGCTGGCTGTTCACAGAGTGCTGTGTCCAAGCA